TGCTGGAACTTTCCGTACCGAAAACTAAATTATTAAAAAAAACTTAGCAAAACCGTGAAAAAATTAGATCTTTGAGAAATTTTGAAATTTTTGAATTTTTGAGTTTTTTGAAAAATTTGATTTATTTTTGTATTTTGATTTTTTTGAAAATTTTGAACATTTTTTTGATATATGATATATCAAAATTTTCATTATCGATTGTTTTGCGATTACTATAACTTACCCTACGGGGAGTTAAAAATAATTTTTATTGCCTTTCCACATCGTAGTGCTCCTTCCCATATAAATTACTGATGTGTTTTAAATATTTTTATACTATATATTTTGTACTAAGAAATCGAAATAGATATGATAAAAAATCGCTGTCCTTTCGAAAATTATTATATTGCATGATTGTTGGTATGAATGATAGTATGGATCTATAAAAGATTTCTATGGATACATGATGATGACCAGGGTAGATATTTTTGTACTTAAAAATTTAAATAGATATAACAAAAAGAATCGCTGCTTTTTCAAAAATTATTTTATATTATTATCTATAAATCTGTGGCGCTGTTACATTGCATGAATGTTGGTATGAATGATAGTATGGAACTATATAAGATGTCTATGGATACATGATGATGACCAGGGTAGATATTTTTGTACTAAAATTTTAATAATAGGTTGTCAAATATCTCCCTTCCGCCTTTTTGTATTATAAACCAAGAGCAAAAAAGCGGAAGGGAGATAATTGACAACCTAATATATATGTATATAAAAAAATCGCTGTCTTTTTAAAAAAATATTTCATATTGTTAACTATGACGCTATTGTATTGCATGAATGTTGGTATGAATGTTAGTGTGGATGTGTATGAGATTTCTATGGATAGATGATAATGACAAGGGCATGCAATATAGAATGATAGATATGTTTTATTTTTAAATGTTGTTCTTTTTTAATTTTATTTCAACCGAGAGTATACCATCGACCACTACCCTATGTTTAACCTCGGCCAGTATTGTTACGATGTTATCCGTCATATATAACAATCTCTTCAGGTATACACTATATAAAATACATATGTATATAGTTCATGTTCATGTATAACGTATCATAGCACTTGCTTATTCTGTTTGGTCTGTTTAATTCAATCACGAAACACTCCGAACGGCGTAAATTCACAAACGAACATAACACGAGATTAAATGTGTGTGATTCGGTGGTAGGAGATAATTAATTGGATAATTGATTTATTCGAATTTTATTTAAAAATATATGGATATCGAGCGCCTGCACTAGAAAGAAGAAATAGTGAAATAAGAATCGTAGTGAAAAAATATTTGTGAGAGTTGTAGTTAAGAATTAGGTGTTCCTCAAGCTTTGTCTTCGGGTCAAGATATATTAGAAATAGATCGAGATTATAT